ATAAAAGATAAATCAATAAAAATTCTGTAGCAAGAGATTTACACTATTTTGAGCTTGAAAATCCTTCTGATTTCCATTCTCCGTCCTTTTATGTGTGTCCTCAAGTATAAGATATAAGGCAAGACTGTTTTGGGGATCCAATCTCTACAAATTTTCACACAATCCTGCCTTTTTATCCACACACTCCACCCACAGAGGATTGAGATATGAGTTTGGGTGGAATAAAATGAAAGTGTCTTGTGAGATGTCCTCAGGATCTTGACGAAATCAAGGCGACACAACTCAATCTAATATCGGCTAAATGATCACCCACTTTGCTATTTACAATTCTCCTTTTTCTTTCCCCCGCCAACAATAAAGGGACTATCTTTCACACCCTTTTTCGCACTCCTTGAATGAATGAGGAGCGTATTTGCGGACACAAAGCCAGTGAAAATCCTTCCGTAAGCCATCGTTGCTCCCCACAAACGGCATTTTATGGTCTTTGTTCCCCGTGCGATAAAAGTTAACAGCCTCTTGACAATTTTCAGGAAGAGGACACACAACACAACACAATGCCTTTCTCAGGCATTTTGTCTCCTGCACCAGCATAAATTTAGGGACGATACTCAGTCCAAAGTATTTAATTAAATACAATTTTAATTGATACTTACTCGTTCACACAATATCCGGACAAATTAAATTCTCCTGTTGACATTGAGAACGGCGATTTCAGCATTAGAATATCACCGTAAAATTCTCACGATTTTATTTATCTACCAATAATAATTTGTAGTATTTATTTATGATTAATCACAATATGGACAGCTTAAAAAACTGTATTTTTGTTTAATGCTTTATTCTGCGCATTTGCATATTTCGTTAACGAATTATTTATGTGAATCCTCAATAATTCACTGGTACTTTTTGTATGAGTACTGTTCTCGGTAAATCATCGATAAAACATTCTGTGTCCTCATATTTTATTCAGTGAAACATTTGAGATTAAAAGTTAATAGGGAGAAAAATCATTGAAAGCGGTTTCAGTCCAAAATGTATCATCAAAATTAAAAGTCAATTATTTCGTCATTTATAATTATGCTCTTTCCAATTGTGGTTTAGTGATTAGCCAATTAGCAAATTAAATTCAATATATTTTGATTGAATAGTTTATTTCTCTGTTTTTCTTCGCTAACAGCAATATTTTTATTCAGTTATAAAACTGCAACAAAAGTATTTTTGTTTGTTTTTCTCTCATGTATATTGCGAACGAATCAATATTGTTGCAAGTAATCAGAGTGTTTTATTTTCGCAATCATTAAAAGTTATATTATACCCAGGGATTACAGTTGATTTTCTTACATTGCTCTTAATTTTTTCCCCTGTCTGCAAAAGTGCTCTTGGCAGCTTTAATTAGGGAATTGAAGTGGACACAATTTGCAGAACATGATGGCAATGATTCGCTAAGTTGAAGGCGCGCCTAGGCATGTTGTGCACAGAGCTCACATAAAAATGAGTGCTTATGAAAGTTATTCACATTTCAGCAAAAATTCAAGAATATGCTGGAATGTTTATTCCCCACTTTGACCCGATCCGCCTTCAAACACTCACTCACTGGCTTTTCTTTGGGGGATGAAAAAAATAAAAAAGAGCATCCACCACTTAAATATATTTTACAACTTCGGCAATTTACCGAATAAAACTCAAAGCTCTTAATAAGTGCCTCAGGTTATCTTGGGCGAAAACGATAAAAAGTTTTTTCGCGTTGCTCTGTACAGGGAGAAAATGCGGCAAGAAATGCTGAAACCTCTCCATTCGAAAGTATCTCTTCTCAGCGCCCCTGAGCTACCCTTCTTCGTGATGACTCTTGCGCGCATTTTCCAAATTAATGTCATTCTCTAGTTTAGGCAATTTTATATATTATTGCGCTATTTTAAGATATTTGATATCATCATAATTAATGTAAGTTCAACTTTGTTCAGTCTCTGAGCCTTTTGGTGCCACGCACAAAATTCTGTCTCTCTGTCCGGAGCGTTTGGAGTTTCGGGATGGAGTTGCCGCGAGCGATTCAAGATGATGAAGACGATTCCATGGTTTGTCATTTAATTTGAGAAACGCACGTTTTAAGTAAAATAGCAGCACAACCATCAGAGCTGGAGATACTATATTGCTTTTAAGCTCTTCTGTTGAGAAACGGCAAACGCTGCTCTTGAAGCGATTTAAGAGACATACAACACTTTGGCACGAGCAATGGATTCGATATCAATATGTGGAATTGAAGCCAATGTCTCATAATATAATCAATTAACTTTAGCATACACATTTAAAATGCCCTTCTAGTTACACGTGTATACAAGTTAGAATGCGCTCCCCATTCAATCTCAGCGTGAAGGCATGACTTATTTCTGTTCAAACGAAATTACCGAGCACTAAATAATTAATATTTCAGCTGAGAAGGTAAGATACACGTTTGGGAAAATCAAATTAGCATATTAAGTATTGTCGCAGTGAAACTCGAGGGGTGATTCGGGGAGAATCTGGCAAACTACAATATTTACATTAATTGAATTTTCTCGCCGCAGTGACGTGGAGCCCAAGAGTCCCCGGGGTGGCACACCATGTGAGACCTTTTTTCATCTCCTCGACGAGTCTCCAATTCCCACCTAACGCGAGAGCAGGCCACTTTATTGTGTGGTATGTCCTCCAAACACTTCGGCATGTGCTAAGGTGGGAAAACTTGGCCAGTTTAGCGACTAAATTATTCATTATTCTTACCAAAGTTTCATCCCACCAGATTTATGTAATACTAATGTGACAGACGCCCGTGGAAGTCAACCATGTGAGTTTTCTTATGGGCGACAGACGATCTATGGAGAGAAAATGTGTAAAACACCAAGAATCGCTCATTTTGCTGATTTTTATCGCTGACTCCGTGATTTAACCACCATATCTCACGTGATCAGGTTACAAAAGTTGATAACTTCCGGAACTTTCTTGTTTTGCCGGGAGAGATGAAGCCGCAAGACCCCACCTTCGAATACAAGACTTCCACACTGCAGGCGGTTCGAGCCAATATTCAACACACAGAGTCTGATTGCAAAATCGCCCACCTCGAAAAGTCATCTGCAGAATTCATAAGTGGTAGCCAAAGGGAAAAGAACTTTTAACATTGGGAAGGTTGTAATTTGACGCTATCTCACCCGATCCTGAGTGAATTCTTATTATTCACGGTAATATTTCACATTCGACTCAAGTTTTCTCGTATGCACACACCCAATTGGCCACGATCGGAGTTGCTCCCAACGCTAATTGGAATAATTGAGGCGGTAACTGAGGAAGTTTTTTTTTCTTTCAGCCTTCTCTCGACACCCACGATGAATATCACACCTATTCGAATTGCTGTTGCAAATAAGTCAATGGGGGGAAGAATTGATGATGAAATCTACTTTAGTCGTAAAGTGCAGCAGAATCACATTTGATTGGAGTAAGATAGGGGAAAGCCATAAAATATGTGAATGAATTGATACAGACCTATTTCCTTGGCACTCAATTCACCTCCTCTACTTGTGGCCAATGTTATTTACCGAAAATGTATTTCATTCTATGTCTTTGGCAAGACACAGGAAGATGACAGTGAGGGGAAAAGACATTTGACCTGCGGTTCTGCCATCAATTCAAGCAGCGAGTTACTTGGGCTTGAAATAAATATCCCTGCGCGCCTTTCATTCGCTACAATTTTCCTCCATGTACACGTAATTGTCTTGTTCTCGACATCTATATTAAATTTATCGGCTACATGGCTTTGAGAGCGATTGGAGAGAGGAAAAACTTGGCAGAGCATGTCCTTTCACAGGAGATTTGTAGATTGTGGTGGAAATGAAAAGTCGGGGTCATCATTGATTCTCTCAATGGCTCAAGCAAGCCAAAACCGGGCGAAATAATCACTGCACATGGCGATGTCGGGAAAAACTTTTCACCACGTCCAGCGATGACGCATTTTTGTTGATTGTAGACGAGAAAATCCATTGGTGGGCAAAGCTATTCGATATATAATTGCTGGGTGGGTGAGAATTCTTTGCAAGTTTCGGGAAAGCACGAAGATGAAATCATATAAAAGTCTGCAACTGGACAAGTTTTTCCTTGTGTGAAAAGCTGATTGGATCCATTCAGTTATTGGACAAACATAAATAATCTCTGATTACGATTTAATCTTTCTCCCTCTCGAACCAAGTTATGGCTGAAGAAGAGGCGAATTTCCGTAAATCAGTTTGAGTTCGATGGTGAAAATGCCCAATAAAGCACAGTGGCAAAAGATGTATTCCAGGCAGAAGAAGATGGATCAAGATGGGAGGATTAAATTCCTATCACTTATCGTAATTTACAATTCATAAACTTCATAGGAAAGTTTTTCTAGCGAAAGTACTGTAATATCATGATGAAATGGGAAATAAGAACCCGTGGAAAGGTTAAGAAGTATCGAGGGGTGTGCAACTTGCTTCTCGAGAGATATTATAAAGTCTTGGTCTATTAGGAAGACTTTACTTCATTTTAATTTTTAGATATTTTCACACCCCTCGGTTATTTCACCCTCACGCTTATTGGCAAATAAGAACCGAAAGATAGAACATTTTCGTGGTAGAGATCTCTCAACAATTTAAGCTTTTAAGTCTGCATGAAGCACTATGTGAAAAGTTCGCATAAGTTTCCTCCTCACTTTTGTTTCGAGTAATTTACGACAAAAGTACGTTTCTCGGGCCAATTTGTACCTTCATTTAGGTTAATTGGTGGGTTCCTCGCCGTGCCCACGAATGGCAATCAGTGAAAACTTTTCGGGTCAATTTTAAATTGAATTGATAATATTTTCCCCATGAGTGAATGTACTCTCTCTCTCTCCCTCTCTCACTCTCTCACCTTTATGTGGATAAAAGTTCCTCACAAACCGCGACGTTCTGGAAATTCCATGTGGGAAAAAGAAGAAGTTTCTAACATGATCATGAGCCACAGTAAAAATCCGTGACCCTAAATTATTTCTAATTCAAATTTCAGTGTTTCTTTTATTTAAAATAAAGTATATATCAATAAGTGTTGCATCGAGCTGGCAGCAAACTGATAATTGAATTTATCATTTGTAACATATACGATACACTGTGTTTTTTTTATCCATCATCATTTTGGCATATTTCACTCTTGTGACAATATTTCATTTAACTATATTTGGCTACTCATGTTATGTGTATAGTATAGAATTTCATGAGCATAATTAATTAAAATACATTTGATTATTTTTAATTTACAATTTATATGCTATTTTCAATTTAATATTTTCATTACATTTATAAATACGTAATATCCATTATTTACATCATAATTCAATTTTTTGTTTGTGACTGTCATGTTTATAGTATTTAATTTTCAGCAAATAAGAGACGCACAAAAATTATATAATTGTCCAATGAAATATTCAACAAGAAATGTGTATTTCCATATTTTATACTTACAATCTCTCTATTCTTATGAAGTCCTTATGAAGTTAGCTTCCTATCTTGTCCTTAAGTTCAAATGTAGTCATAAATATTCTTCAAAGCTCTGTGTGTTAATTTCATCTAATCTGTTCAATAGAGCTCAAAATCGTTGCTCAGTTGTGTGTTTTTGAATTTCCGTCTCAAATGTCCTCTTTTATCGATTCTCCTCTAACGTGCTATCTTTTATTTTGAGTTCCTCTTATAAAATAACATTGTGGATTAAAAATACGTCAGTCATCTATTTTATCATTCGCCTACACGCTACATAACTCCCTTACAAGTACTGATGATGTGCACGAAGCGACCTTAGTGTCTACAGTTGAGTGGCGCAAGATCAAAAATGCCGGTTTATTTGGAGGATAAACAATACTTGCAGGATAACTACCATGAGTCCTGAATGGGTTTTTGTACCTGGGAAGAAGCAACGAGATGTGTAGTTTCATCATTCAAACACTAATGTGCAAATTAATGCCCCGAAGTCTAATATGCGTATGATTTAGCAACATGCAGACCAATTTTCAGCAGCCGCCCTGCAGGATGTTCTCCAGCGATTAGCCTTTATGTGTTTTGGGGCGGAAATGTGGGCAAAATATTGGCTGAAAAAATGCTGATTCACTTTTAATGTGTGACTCCGAGGGGTATTTGTGTTGCGTTTAGTCCCCAGACCGCGCCAAAATTCTTCTTCACGCAAATATTGATTGTGTAAATAGGAAGAGGGAATTTGCAAATATGCCCAGCAGCGCCTGTCGCACTGGCGGCGCTTTTGATACTATGTGCATTTCTGGCCCATATTATAAACTACGTGGGGTTTTGCGAATCTCCACTAATTCCGCCACACAGGCAATGTAATTGATATGTGCCGGAACGTTGAAGAGGGAAATCGACAGTAGCATTGTAAATGGTACTTTAAACAATACTGACTCGCTCTCGGTGGTCTAATTTGAGCTGTTTGATGGAGAGCGTGCAAAACAGGCACATTTGCCGTGTGGCCACTGTAATTTGGGGAGCTTTTAAACTTCCATTTCTCTCCAGGGTAATCGGTGTCACATCTCCATATTACTTGACTTGACAACCGAACAATAACTCCATGTATTTCCATGCGGTATTCCCAGTTAAACCCACCCCACTTGTCGGAGTGCGAGATTAGTCTATTAACCTTAAGGAAGTGGAGCATGACATTTCCATAATTCCAAGAATAACTCAAAAAGAGAAATGGTTTCGTGGATGAAAAGTAGTGATGGGATTATTGAATAAAATGATTCTATTGACTTACATCCGCTCGTTTTGTCATCTTCCGGTATAAAATCAAAACCTTTTGCGCTCTCCTCCGACGATTTCTGCTCAGATTTGTCTATCTCATTCAGATTTGATTGATACCTGGAGTCTGGAAATGAAATAAATCAGTTACACTGATGAAGCTTTGTATTTTTTTCCATCCTCCGTCCCGCTTTTTGCCCTTCCACATGAACGGTGGGGTGAACATCCATTTGGGAGCGGGTAACATTGTGATGTGCTGCACAGAAGAATGGACTAGAGGTGGTGAATACTCACTTTTGTCCGCCAAATGCGAAGTGAACGTGGTGGATTGGCCATAGAGTGAGATATTGACATTGGGTCTGAGTTCCCAAATCTCCTTTTGTACTGCTTCTGTTGTTGGTGGTGGAATCGTTGTCGGCGGACTGGATACTGCAATTCAATTTAATATTTTTCACAGTCAGAGTATTTGGGGAAATTGGAGACAAACACCCAAATAGTGCAAATAAAAAACATCCTTCACCGCAATTCACCCGTCTCTCTCTCTCTCTCCCCCCTTCAGCGTTCATGCCCCAGACAATTGCTTCAAGTGCCTTTTGAGGACGCACACACGAGGTGAGACAAGTGGACGTGAGACTCCCGAGTATTTGTAGCAAATTGAATGACCGGATATCCCCGCAGGACAATTCCTATGAATGCCCTGCCGTCGAACAAATGGTCTCAATGTGCACAACATAGGGTGTTCTCCGGCCCGACAAGGGGAAGCATCCCCCTCGGCATACGTTATTATGAGGGCCATAAATAGCCCAAGACGTGTTACCGGAGTTGATTACTCAATTTCACAACTTTTTGCCTCCTCGAGCACATTGTCTCCTGCTCTTTGATCACGGAAGCCACTCTCGCCCTCAAGACGTGTGGCAAGAGTGAAAAAGTGAAGTGTAAAATGTTGCTTTTTTGCAAAATATGCAAATTGAAGAATTGGAATATAACAAATACTGGACAAAATTGGCCTTAATTGGTGCACATAATTGAAGATCTAGAAAGTGATGTATGTATACAGTCAAAATCATTTGACATGCGATATCTAGGAAACAAGATCGGTGTTTTGGTTAATATCTGACACAAATACACTTGCAGTCTGGGTGAAATGATGCTGAAAGATGCGCAATACATCATCCCACTCCCGAGTCCCAAGTGACATGGGGTCATCACTGCCGAACAGTCAAAATATGCATGGAATAGGGGAGCAGGCAAAAAATGGACAGCTTCTGCTTGGTATAAAATTCTTGATTTCATATTAAACCCCTTGAAAAGGTCCTCTGCACATAATACCATGCATATACAATGGAAAAATTATAGGGAGATGAGCTGTTTGTCCCCAGCGAATTTAAACTGGATCCGGTCGGATGTTGTGCCTCTGATCCACCATATATAGCCACTGGAGAGCCAGAATGTAGATGTGGGACAAAATTGAATAAAAATAAACTCGTTTCCTCTTCCTGTTCTACATTCCGCCCACCCGACGATCCGGGGTGTGGAAAAAGAGTATACGTATAATAATATGCGTAACACATGCTGTACAAAAGCTTGGTGAGTGTGTTGATGGCATAAAAATTTCACACTCTGTGTCGAAATCCAATCATGGGAGATTCCCCGAAGAGGCGCCAGAATCATGAGATATAATCGTGATTCCAGATCCACTGCTCATGGGATGACATATTTTATTCATTCATTTGTGCTGTCGCTGAGCGGGGAATTGAGCTCCGCAGAGCCGGTGTGGATCGGCGAAGAAAGGCGATGAAAATGGAATAAAAACAGCGACGAAGAATGGGTGAGAATAGGGGCGCGCACGGGGGGTGCTCGAGTAATTCGTTGTAAGGTGAAATTTCCCGATAAATTAGTTTACCTCGCCGAAGGAGGGGATGAACGTCGATACAGCCGTTGTCACCACTCCCGATCGAACAGCACAGCGCACACATTCTTATATTGTGCTTAAAGATGAAACGACTTTGGGGCGATGGATTTCACTCTAAAAAATGGCTATACATTGTTATCTGTGTGGGGTGGAGGACGATAAGCGGCAAACTAAGGAGGGAAAAGATGAGTGCAGAGTTGAGAGCAAGAAAGAGAATGAAAGTCATTTTTTATTCACCATCTTGATTTCTTTCACATCACATTCCCTCCTGTGCCGCGCTGGCGATAAACACCTTTTTGGATCACGGAGGAAATGTGGGTGAAAGTCGGGCTGAAAATCGTGTCGCATGGAAATTAGAAAATAACAAAACTCCTCTGAGATTGCCGAAATGTTTGGAGAAATTCTCATGTGGGGAAAATTCGGTGCGCCAGAACGACAGGGAAATGCGGGAATCGAACAACACAGATTGAGCTGAAGTGTTTGAAAGGCTTAAGCTTGAAAGGCAATTTGTGGATATTTGCATAATGCTGGATTTCCATGCGACCTACATAAAGTTAACCAGAAGAAAAACTATACTTTATCGTGAATGCATATATTTTTGCTCCTATTTTGCAATTGTGTTGATTTTTAATAAGTCCTATCAGTTTCATCATCCCATCTCTTCAGAACGGCTTGGAAACCATCCGAATTAAGAGCATTAATGCAATCGTACAATACATCGCCGACTTTGCATCCAGTCTCCTTGCTAGCATCCTTCCTGCAACCGTCAAATGCTTCTTCAGGAGTTCCGTTCATTTTGAGCTTCCTAAAGGGAATAACCAGGTTGTCCTCGTCAACCAGGCGATAGTAATACATGCTGCAAGCATGCTTGCAACTGCCTTCCTTTCCGCCTTCTTTGCCCGTGCAGAATTCCGAAATTCTTGTTCTCTTTGGCTTAACATCAGGCTGGAAATTTTGCCTTGTAAGTTATGCTTTTCTGAATGACTATTCAAATCTACTCACATGCTGCGCAAACCATTTGTTAGACTCTGGAATAGTTCCATAGTACGCATGTTGCAAATTATCTTTCTCCTTCAAGAAGAAGTCAATGGTCTTCTTATATACAGCCTCACACGATCCATCTGTAGCACCTTTCAAATTCTCGAGATCAGCAGGAACCGTCAATCCGCGCGTTTCATATTGTGTGGCAATAGTATCAACATTTATAGATTTCGAATTAAAATCGTACGATCCAAGATTCATCCACACACACTTTACATAGCAATGAGTGTCTGCGTTGTCTGGCAACTCCCATTTATAGATCTTTGGGAGTAAAGCTTGATCAGATACTTCCCTTTGACAGGTCCTAAAAGCCCACAGAGTTTGGTCAGCATCTCTTGGATACTGCCAGGAGAACTGAAAAACCATATTGTTAAGTCGTTTGAGTATCTTCTCGAAATAAGTTTCCAACTCACTCCAACTTCACACAAACTTTGCAACGCCAAAACAATCAGCAGAGCGTTCATTTTCACAATACTGAACTATATTTCACATCTTAACTACCCTATTTATAGGCCATACGAAAAAGATTCTACAGAACACACTCTGTTAGTAGATTTTGTATTTAGACAACTGTTCAAATAATTCAACAATTTCCAGTACGAAATCTGCGACGAGAATGTGAAAATTTATTTTGTTGCCAATTGTTAATTTAAACTAGAGCTTTGTAAAGCCGTGAAACAGCTAAATGACTAAAAAAAAATCGGGCATCTACCATCTCTTTCTCTTGTATTGGATGAATTTTCCGCTACGACAAACTAAATCTGGCGCTTGTGTGGTGGAAACTTTAGCAAACGAATAAAAGTTAAGCTGATTTTTATATCGCTCCCACACACATTCAGTATGGTATATGAGTGGAGCAGAAAAGCGTCTGCAAAGTGAAATGGTTGACCTTTAATCTGTCTTAGGCCTAAATGGAAAAGTGTGTATTTCCCAGAGATTAAAATCTCGCAACATTTTTTTGTCCCCCCAAACGTATGCTTTCCGATATATCCGCGCGTAAAAGTGCGAAGTCGCTTCCAAATACCCAAATGGTAGTAAATTTCAAAAGCACATCGCACACATTCAGTACAGTGACACAGGAATGGGGATCTCTGTGGCAATGTGGAGGCACGGAGGAAAAGTACAATGCATCAGGGGAGAAATGCCAGAGATAATCTGTAGAAAAACACGTTCACTTTTTACCTGTCTCAAGGAATTACCAACTTTTTCTCTGTTCTTTATTATTTTTTTTGTCTCCGTCCCAGGTTTAAGGGAGTGTGAATGTGTGAGGTGCTGCTTCTTCCATCCCCTTGACATCCTGCTTGACTCTCTCTCTAGTACAGCGTAACACCCACTCGTTTGCAGACACCACCGAGACTTGTCACCAACCGCTTGAATTAATGGCACTCTTCGGGAGCTTTCGAGCTTTATATAATTTTCACACTTTAACAAAGTGCCGTTTCCTCTTTTTATTGCCCTTTCAGCTCATGTGAAGAGTATCATTCCATTCTTTTGCATTATTTCTCTTCTCGCTGCAACTTGTCCTTGTATGTTAGCTGGCGAGCAATGATGTAAAATGATTTATCCAAGATCAGAGCTTATCTATTTGAAATTCCATATATGCGTAATGTTTTACCTATTTAACAAAGTATTTACTCGCGACAAAAAAGTTTGCAAGAAACTTATCACTTGACAATTTACGTAGTATTGTTGCTTGACGCTGTGCGGTATCGCATGGTATATAGAGAGTCATTCTCGAGTCTGCATAATGTATACGGAGGGGTTGGCTTTCTGTGAGTGGCGAATTAAGGGAAAATCCTTACTCGTGTTTCCCAGGATGATCCATTGGGAGATTGTAAGAAAAGACTCTTGTATATTTGAATATTTCCATGTATACATGGACAAACATACTTGCGCGCAGATGTTCATTATACATTTTCCCAACTGAGAATCGTACAAGCGGAGACAAATACGAAATTTCTTATTCAAATCTCAATTTAAAGGGATATTCAATATTAAAATACATTCTAATTTAGAAGCATATTGTTATTTTTCCTTTACCTTCGCGTCGAAAAGTGAAGCCACAAGAAGAGAGTGTGAAAATTCAACAGGTTTTCACTAGCCTTCTTCCATCCTCATCAACGAATTATCAAGTCAGCGGAATTTTCCTTCTCTTTGTTCCACACTTTAAGGGTCATAATTGAAAATTCAATCACAATGCAACCCCTTCACTTGCAAAATCACACCACAAACGCCTCAAATACTCTCACTGAAATGGCAATAAAGCTTAAATCATTAATTTTATCGCTGAGAAGTCCCCCACCACCCATTGGAATGGAGATTGCAGTCGAAAGTCACAAGATTTTCCCTTTCTATAGCATCCTCCGTGGGTGCCTGTTTTGTCGCCGTATTGCCGAGAGATGTAATCTTAATGACTTTTGTTTAATTACTGACACTGCCAAAGTCTTTAGGTCGTTATTAAGGGAAATGTGAGATCTGTGTAGGAAAAGGTTTATGCGCAATGGACGGAATGAGGCAGGCTTCCGCTTCACAGTCCAAGATCTCAATGGTCCGACCGTTTAGATAACATCTCTACATTCTTTCTTCGCATTTAACCCATCACACTTTCCCAAAGCAGCTGCCTCGAGTGGAGATTTTTATGGTTGAATAGAATAAGGAAGAAAATATGGAAGAGAGGAGTCTCAGGAACATCTAAATTATTAACTATTATGACTTCATACCTTTTCCTCGGATCCCAGAAACTTCAACTGGTCCACGGAGAGGCTCACAATTAATGGTGGCCCATCAAAAAAGTTCTGGTACGGATAATTTTATGGGCACGAACGGTAAAAAGGGGAGAGATATTGCAATGTCCTGCTCTTGCCTTTGCGAGGAACTTAAAAACTTTGTCAGAAGTTTCGCTCAAGAATAGCTAAAGTGGAGCATTTTCGCTCGACACTCAAATTTCTACATTCTAAATTAGTACTTACAGTAAATTCTAATATTGCCATCCGTTTCGCCTCGAGGATTCTTTGCTACACACTTGTAATTTCCGCTATCGCTGGCCTGAAAGCTGAAAATTGTCAGCTTCATCACTGACTTGTACGATGGCGATGTGGATACAGATTCCGTCCTGGAAAAATCATCGAGAAGAAGCAGTTGGAATTAAGATATAAGGATATGATTACAAAATGCTTGTATTAAGTGGATTTGTATCTGGTTGGACTGAGAATATTCCGGCAATCAAACTCACTTGTACTTTACAGAATCGTGAATCATGCTGTCATTCTCGCGTGTCCAGTAGTTGAGAGACGTGGGATAGGCTTCCACGAGACACTCAATTGTGATGTTGTAGAGTGGTGGCACTCCAACTAATTGATGTGCAATGGAGAGCATGGGAGGAACTGAAAGACGGAAACGCATTATGATAGAATAAAAGTATGACGAGAGAAATTCGATTTCGGGGTGAAATGCTATCGCTTCTTTGTGCTTTTCCCATTGACTTCCCCAGTGCATGCAATTCCGTGGCAGGCAACTTCACAAGCAGCATCTTTTTCGTGATGGAAAACTTCATCTACATATGAATGAACAAATATTTTGAATTTTCCAACTCAATGGCTCGTGTAATTTAATCAAGAAGGGACGTCTTGGGCGAAACATGGAGCTGAGTTAATTTCAACTGTGATGCTGTGTGGTGTAAAGTGTGACGTAAAATTTTCTAAAACATGTCCGTCTCTATCATAACATTTTGCAGGCAACGCTTAATTATTGTAAATCTTATCTCGTGTAACAAATGGGTGGAAAACACATAAATTGCCACGGGATAAATAATAGTTTTCCGGATGTGCAGAGGAGGAAATATGAAAATTCAAGTGTCATTGTGTTAAATTGTCTGGAACAATTGTCTCTGAATTAACTTTTCCTGGGCCAGGCCAGAATTTTGCTACACAGCACCAAATAATATATCTCTGAGTGAAATTATGGCTTTCTTCACTAATTATTTCGTCCTCATTCTTATACAATTTCACACACTCTGAAGAGGGAGACGAGGGATTTTGGCCAGTGCGCACCAGTTTCACACTGAGACACAGAGTGCATAAGGAAACGTCATAACAGATTGTTACAATCCGATAATAGAATACACCCGGAACCACACATTTTCCCTTTCACATCCACCATTCCCACAGTGAAGCTCCGCAATATTCCATATTCTGACTAATTCTGCTCGTAATTGATAGCGGTAAGATTAAAGTTTTCGCCCCGACGTAATTAATTGTTCCATTTATATTGTTAGTGCGAGTATGGTGAATGCATCAAATAATTTCACTGATATTCCCCATATTGTTTAGTTTTTTTTGAAAAATTCGTCACACATAAAATTGACAGGGAAAAAACATTGCATCCAGATTAATTCTACATGGACGATAGACTTTAGAGAGGCTTTTCACAACCGCTCAACTTCAAATCACTGTGAAATGATGATAAACTTTTCCATTGACCACTCACAGTGAGTACAATATAAAAAGTTTAGATGTCTTTTTTTTGCTAAATAACAAATAAAAATGTGACAAAATCCACTAGAGTTCGATTGGACATTCCGGTGCAATAAATTACAATAATGATGGCGACTTTTGAGCGATAATTTGATTATTTAATCTCATTTCCGGATGAATTAATCAAATCGCATAGGATAAAGCGATTAATCGTATTTGTACAGAATCCCGCGATTATGATCATTTTCATATGCATCGCATTTCAAATTAAATCCCCTGAATGTGATGTTGTTCCTTCAATTGTACTAAAAATGTCTTTGGGAAGAATGCGATGAGATGAAGAAATGGAAAATATTTGTTTCCATCGTCTTTCAATACTTTTTCACTTCTCTCATCCTCGAAGCGAATAAATTTCCATTTCACTCTGGCAATCAATAGTCTAATTGAAAATGCAAATTATGGATTTACGAAATTGGATTTCCTGGCCACTCAATACCAGAGCCGAAGTGGAGAAATTAAAACCAAATATAAGCTGTGTCATGAAAATTGATGCTTCCTCCCCAGACACTCTGATGGGAGATGTCGAATTATATTGGATCCTTTTCAAACTATAGTTTCCACCCCTCCTTAATACTTACAGTCAACACTGACTTTAATCCTTTTGCTGACACTCGGAGGCACGCCATTGGATGCGATGCATAAATAAGCTCCCATGTCGAGACGGGAAATCCTCGTCAGTTCCAGAGTCTCGCCTTCCCATTCCAGAACTGCAGGAGAAGAGAAAAATTCACAATAAGCGATGATTACAAAATTGCTGGCATCTTCTAAACATCCAAAATATTTGCAAATAGAATTACAGCACATCATGTGACTTTTGCTGGCAGCAATTAATATGTCCCAGTGGAGAACAAAAAGTCATGAAGGGGGATCGAGCCTGAGTTGGCAACAAGTGGTTGCCCCATCCTCATTCACTTTCCACTTGAGTACGCTTACCCAAAAGCTTTATGATGTGTGAATGCTCTTCAAGAAGGAGGATTTCGACTTTAGAGCAATCAGGAGGTGACTCGAAATGCGATATGTCGATTACATGTACAAGGAAGCCAGAATAAAGTCTGGGAAAGTCCACGAGCAATTACCTGATATGCTTATATGTATTGTGGGAATGAAAGTGCCAAAATTTCATTTTCAGTCCTGAGGACACTCATATCTCACATATTGTGGGAATTACCTATAATGAGTTGAGAATGGACTGTAAGATTCTCTAGATTCTCTCACCACGACTCCTACTAGCGTCTTTACCTGTGGGAGGGGATGAAAACAACTGTAAGAAACTCCCCTGTCTCACCACGGCTCCCTGATAGAGGCTTTTACCTGCAAAGTTGCAAAGATACAGAATATGAGTAAATCCGTCTTGAAGTGACCGGATTCTTCTTCGCAGGCCGATGCGCTGTAGTCTCGAGATGAGGTTGACGATGAATTTGCTAGGATAGCGAGGATATTATCACCAATTAAACACTTTTTCTCAGAGTAAAAAACCACGCGGCTATTTCATCACTTTATTCTTCGAAAAAGGCGATTTGACATTTCGCGGCTGTCCCACACCGACTCGTTTTCGAATTCCGGAAACCCGGCTGTACATTTACTCCACATTTTCCCCCTCTGGAGCCCTGGAGGGGCTCAAGAAGTCCTCGGTGGGAAGCCAGGCGAGTGTATTGACGGCGCGCTTTTGAATTCCATCGGTGGTTTTAACCGTCGCTACACGCACGATGTCGTCTTTTCCAGGGTGGACGTCGACGATTCTGCCCATTCTCCAGAATGCGGGCTTTAGAGCACTCTCCTTGATGAGTACTAAGTCTCCCACGGTGAAATTTCTCGCCTTGCTGTACCATTTTGATCGCTCGTGAAGAGTGGCAACATATTCAAAATGCCACCGTTTCCAGAAGTCCTGGACGATGCGCTGAGCTTGCAGCCAGCGGCTCAAACGGTTGGGATTGATGTCCAGCAGGTCTGCATCAGGAGCCAGGTTGAGTTGGTGAGATACCAAGAAGTGGCCTGGCGTCAATGGCTCGAGATCTTCGATGTCCGAGAAGGGATTTGCGCAGATTGGCCGCGAATTGAGGCAAGCCTCAATTTGAGCCAGAACCGTGGCGAGTTCCTCGAAGGTGAGAAGAGTTTCCCCCAGTACTCGGCGCAGGTGTGTCTTCACATTGGAAACTCCTCTTTCCCACAAGCCTCCAAAGGTTGGGGAATAAGCCGGAATGAAGTTGAATTGTGTGCCAGTGGTAGACATCTCACGTTCAACTCTCTGTCGATGTTTGCGAATTCCGTGAAGCCTTTCTTCACGACTCTCTCCAGATGCGCCGACGAAATTCGTTCCGTTGTCGCAGAAAATAGTGTGGGCAATTCCTCGACGCGCAGAAAATCTTCTCAGGGCTGCGATGAATGCATCAGTCGACAAATCGCTGACAGCCTCAAGGTGCATGGCTTTTGTGGCCATGCAGATAAACACTGCGATGTAAGCCTTGAGAATTGGCGCCTTCCTCAGCTTCGACGCTCGAATGCGGATGGGGCCCGCAAAATCACATCCTGTCATGTAAAATGCCCTCTGCTGTTGTGTCACCCTCACGGCGGGTAGATCGCCCATGAGAGGAGTTGCTGCTGCAGGTTTTGCCTTCACGCACTGGACGCACTTCCTCGTGATTCCCTTCGCAAGATTCTGGAGGCCCAGAATCCAGTATTCCGTGCGCAAGGAGTTGATCAAAATCCGCGCTCCTGCGTGTTGATTTATCTCATGGTGGAAATAAACCATCTTCCGGGTGAATGAGTGGTCCGACGGCAAGATGATCGGATGCTGCGCTGCATAACCAACTTCCGCATTGGCTAGACGGCCCCGAACTCTCATCAGGCCTTTCTCATCCAGGAAAGGAACAAGTTTCCTCAACTTGCTCGACTTGGGCAGTTCTTCCTTCTTGCGACACAGTTTGTACTCCTCCGGAAAGGCTGTTTTCTGGACGTGCCTCAGCACACAAGTTGTCGCCTCTCGCAGCTCCTTCACCAAGAGACTTCCTGTCTGCCTCTCTGCTGGCTTCAGCCGACGATTCCTGATAAATCGCCTCCAATATGCGACATATCTGATGATCTTGACGTAATCTGAAGTTGTCTCAATCAGATGAGACAACGGATCCAGAACTTCCTTCTGTGTCACGAGAGAAATCGCGTGTGAGGATCTCTCTGCAGTGGCTTTCTCCCTTATCACTCTGTCTGCTGGCCATTTCTCGCGCTCAGGCAGCCACTCTGGGCCACGCAGCCACAATCGATGCTCCAGAAGTTCGCTCGGTAGAATTCCCCTGGACACACTGTCAGCGGGATTGTCGGTGGTTGGCACATGACGCCAATCACAGGGTGGCACACTTTCCTGGATGAAAGCCACACGATGAGCTACATAAGTGTTCCACGTGCGTGGTGGCTCTTGCAGCCACTGAAGAACCACTGTTGAGTCTGACCAGGCGTGCACTTGAATCTCCTTGTTGTCAATCGCTTCGCGCACCTTGGTGATAAGTTGAGCCAGAAGAGCGGCTGCATTCAGTTCCAATCGTGGGATTGTCACTGGTTTCAAGGGCGTCACCCTCGACTTCGCGATCACAATGTTGATCTCTGTGTTGCCCTCAGAGTTGATGCCCTTCGCGTACACTACAGCCCCGTACGCGCGCTCTGAGGCATCAGCGAATCCGTGGAGTTCGATGATGTTCTCGTGTGAAGGAGTCCTCCGCGGAATCCTTAGCTTCTGAATAAGATGGAATTCAGATTGGATTAGATTGTAAGCACTCACCAACTCGATTGGAAGTTTCTCATCCCATTCGATTTTCAACAGCCAGAGATCTTGAAACATTATCTTCAACTTGATCGTCACAGGAGCTACGAATCCCAGCGGGTCGTAGATTGAGGCTGTTGCAGCGCAGAGTTCCCGTTTGGTAGAGATCTCAGGGAGAGCGGCAATGGCGATCGCAAGTTCATCTGTTCCTGGCAGCCAAATCAAGCCCAGCGCTGAGATGGCCTTTGATTGCGATGCGACTTCGTTTGGTGTGATGGCTCTCAGCTCCGATGGAATCTCTTCTAGCACTTCCACTGAGTTGGAAGTCCACTTCCTGAGGTTGAAGTGGGCCTTGAGGAGAACCTCCTGGATCTCCTTCTGGAGCGCCTTCGCTTCCCCCACTGAGGCAGCTCCACAGATGAGGTCATCCATATAGAATGACTTGGTGATCACTCGGCAAGCCTCCGGGTGATGTTCCTTGTAGTCCATGGCTATCTGGTGAAGCACACGGACGGCCAGATAGGGGGCACTGGATGTGCCGTACGTCACTGTCTTCAGGCGGAAGACCTGAAGCGCATCTTGTGGGGTGGGCCTCCAGTAGATCATCTGAAAGTCCCTGTCCTCTTCCGCCACAACCACCTGGCGGTACATCTTTTCCACGTCAGCTGACATGGCCACCTTGTGCGTCCGGAAACGCAGCAGCAAGACCAAGAGATCGTCCTGCAAGGTTGGCCCGATGGCCAAGATGCTGTTGAGCGACGGCTTGTTTGGTCGCGTAGTTGCGGACGCATCGAAGACAACACGGAGTTTGGTTGTCTCGCTGGACGGACGAAGCACTGCCTGGTGCGGCAGAAAGTAAGACTGATCCTCAGTCTTGGCCTTGGGATTGGGCACGGATTCCATGTGCCCCAGACTCAGATATTCCCCCATGAACTCAGCGTACTGATCACGAAGGCTGGGATCCCTCGAGAAGCGCCTCTCGAGCGTCTGGAACCTTGCGAGAGCGCCGGAACTGGAGTTACCCAGCGGCGCGTGATCCCTCTTGAAGGGAAGTCGAACTACGTAGCGTCCGGTGTCATCTCTGGTGTGGGTCTCGCTGAAGTGCTTCTCACACATCGCTTCCTCTTCCGTGAGAAGCGGCTGCTGGTCGAGAAACCCATTTTCCACCTCAAAGAATCGCTTGAGAAGGTCATCTGGATTGCACTGGGTGTGCATAGAAGTGAAGCTCGTCACTGGGCTAGAGATTGGACCGCTCACGACCCAACCGAAGATTGTTAGCTGGCCGACAGGCTCGCCAGCTTTCCCACGGATCATCTGAGGAAGATTGACCGCCATTGCGTGCTCAGCCCCCAGAATGAGGTCAATCTTTCCAGGCATGTAGTAATTTGGATCCGCAAGCTCAAGATTCGTCAAATGGCCCCACTTTGCAGCAGAAACACTCGACGAAGGCAGCATAGAAGTCACCTTCTCCAACACGAAGGCCTCAACAGCGATTCTCTTCCCGGAATCGTACCTCGAGGCGAGTTCCATCTTCAGAAGACCTCGAGTGTATCCGACAGTTGTCTGAGCAGCCCCTTGGACGGAGATGCGAGCTTTGGCTCTAGGTAGAGCGAGACGTTGAGCGCAATCTTCTGACACCATCGTGCATTCTCCCCCACAATCCAATAGAATGCGACAAGCCTGATTTTTGCCGTATGCGTCCTTCACGTGGACGACAGCTGTAGGAAGCAATGCTTTGCGGTGGAGAGTCGAATGATGACTCGTAACAGTCGTCAGCGGAGATTCATCCGCATTAGCAGCAGTTTGAAGTGCAGCCGGAGCCTGCACTGGAGCCTCTGGAACTGGGTCCGTCTGCGGGGGATGTAGCAACGTGTGGTGCCTTTTTCCACAGTGCTGGCAGCTAGATTTCGATGTACATTTAGCAACTGAATGATTGGGCCTCATACAGTTGTAGCAGAGATGATGCTGAGACATCTTTTGACGCCTTTCGTAGAGAGAAAGCGCCTTGAATTTGTCGCACATGTAGAGCGGATGAGCACTGTTGCACTCAGGACAATTAGCAGCGTTTGTATGATGAGACTTAAATCCAGATTTCCCTGGCTTTGCTGAAGCCTTCTGCTCAGGCGCTGTGGTCTTAGCAGGCGCAGTGGCCACAGTTTGAGCAGCACGTTCCAATTCGTCGGACATCTTAGTTAAGAACTCGAAGAACTTGTCAGTGGTGGCGATCTTGTCAGTGTCTTTGTATTTCTCCCACTCCCGCCTGAACTCCATGTTCATATTCCGCTTCATCAAGTAGATAAGCCACATATCGAGCGAGAGGCCCTCAGAACCCAAAGCCTTGAGTCCGTCAATGATCTGCCGATACTTTCGCTGGGCAGCCTGCAGTTCTGACGCCGTGTCCACTTTCTTCTGAGTGTACTCCATGAAGTCTTGAATGTAAGCGTTGATCAGGTGATCCTTTTTGCTGTATCTGTCATTAAGTCTCTTCCAAGTGGGCTCATAATTCTCATTCGTGATGGAAACATGAGCGATGTCTTCAGAAGCAATCCCAGTGAGACTCATTTTCAAGTATTGCATCTTCTCACTGTCAGAAAGACTGCTGTTCTCGTGAATGGCACTCGCAAAAGCATCTCGGAATGGAGGCCAATCGATGTACTTCCCATCAAATGACGGAAGCTTGAGCTGAGGTAGCTTCGTGCGCGTCCCAGTTGCGCCACTGGAATTGTTCTGAGCTATCAACTCCAAGATTTCAGTCTGCTTCATCAGTGTTGAAGCCAAGCCGTCAGCCTGCGATGCCGGCGGCACCTCAGGCGTTGTTCCCAAACCCTCAGCCATCCTGTTGATGGAGAGCTCGAGTTCCGAATGTCGCAGCAGAAATTCATCACCCTCTTTCTCCTGCTTCTTGAGCTCATCAAGTAGTTGAGCGTCCGCGTCAGGCCCGGAGAGCATGCACTCAATCTTCAGTTGCACAGGAGTAAACTTCTCGAGTGCGATGCCCAAGCCATCCTTCACAGTCTTAACAAAGGCCTTGTCCGCCATTTGCACGCCTTCGACCTTGTTCTCAAGACGTGTGAGTTGCCGTTTGTAGATTCCCCGCTCCACAACCAGGGAGTGAAGCTGAATCTTCAATAGATCATCCATCTTGTGCTTATCAGGTCAAAGGTTGACGACAGCGACGCCAAAATGAATGAGGTCCAGTTTTCTCTGAGTTCAGAGCGTTGTAGAATACTCCACGTTCTCGGGAAGAGGGCTGAGATCCAATCTGTTGCCAAGATACGCCGCAGCGGTGATCAGATTGAATGCACGCAGACCCGACGCAATCTTCCACGAAGTGAAGGGCAATTGAGTGTATTTGCTCACGTCGCACGCAAGTCCAAGTGATTCCTTGCCGGACGAAGGGCCAGAATGTGGGAATTACCTATAATGAGTTGAGAATGGACTGTAAGATTCTCTAGATTCTCTCACCACGACTCCTACTAGCGTCTTTACCTGTGGGAGGGGATGAAAACAACTGTAAGAAACTCCCCTGTCTCACCACGGCTCCCTGATAGAGGCTTTTACCTGCAAAGTTGCAAAGATACAGAATATGAGTAAATCCGTCTTGAAGTGACCAGAATGTGGGAATTACCTATAATGAGTTGAGAATGGACTGTAAGATTCTCTAGATTCTCTCACCACGACTCCTACTAGCGTCTTTACCTGTGGGAGGGGATGAAAACAACTGTAAGAAACTCCCCTGTCTCACCACGGCTCCCTGATAGAGGCTTTTACCTGCAAAGTTGCAAAGATACAGAATATGAGTAAATCCGTCTTGAAGTGACCGGATTCTTCTTCGCAGGCCGATGCGCTGTAGTCTCGAGATGAGGTTGACGATGAATTTGCTAGGATAGCGAGGATATTATCACCAATTAAACACTTTTTCTCAGAGTAAAAAACCACGCGGCTATTTCATCACTTTATTCTTCGAAAAAGGCGATTTGACATTTCGCGGCTGTCCCACACCGACTCGTTTTCGAATTCCGGAAACCCGGCTGTACATTTACTCCACACATATCAACATAAAATGCAAACAAGCCATCACCTCTGGCTGACAAAGTGGACAAAAGACTCATCAATAATTCATTATTCTATATAGACATTACACTGACACCAATTGCAGAGCAATAGAGCTGCTTGATTACTTACGCTAGATATGTTTTCCCAACAGATTATGTAGAACAGGACAAATTTATCGTCAGACAAAACAATAAGAATCCAAATTTCTTTGGCAGATTACAGTACCTTGATGCTGTATGAGTTTTCCCAGGTCGACTCAAATTTTGCATCATCGTTAATTCCTTTTAAATCTAATTAACTCCCAACCCCTAAGCTTAATCCAGTAAAGCTCGTCATGAATATTTTTCACCCTATTAAGCTGCAGAAGTGCTTGCGGTTGCTACATACCGTTGAGACTCTTGGTTATGGAGATTCGAGTGTTATCGTCCCTCCTCCACTTTATTGATGGTGCTGGACTCCCAGTGGCCCGACACCTCAACGTCACATTGGCACCTTCCCGCACGATGACATCACTCGACGTTATCGAGTCATCAATGTTGGGCGGCACTGCAACGAGAACAGAAATGTGCTGTAGTGTGCAGAACTTTCGTACATATTTGGTCTTCTTTTCACAGCGCTTCTGTGAAATTAATTTGGCGAAACGGTGTCACAGTGACTGAAAAGAGCATAAATTTGAGGGCAATTTCCTTAATTTGATATGTCAAATGCTGCTGGAACGGGAGAATGAGTCAGAGATGGACGAGAAGCCCCAATACTATCGATTAAATCTTCGTGCAGGAGTTGTGGCACCAACATAACTCAATGTGAATAGGTATGATGTGCAACAATACGAGGAAAAGTTGCAAAAAAAATCGTATTTTCAGTACGATTCGATTGTACTAATGTATTTTTGAGTTGTCACAACATGTCCGGAGACTTTTCCCAGCTTCTGGAGCACCCAAACCGTGGCCAAACCAATGATAAATGTCACTGGAATTGTGGCATACAATGTTTTTACTTGTCCTTTAAATCACACCCCATATCCAACTTTTCTGCCCCAGAACGCAGGGGAGGATTTTTCTGTCTACCTCTCTCGCTATTTACCATTTGAACGTTGCAAAATTGAATTATGTGAATGTGTTGAAAAGAAATCACTTGTATGGATTTCAGAAACTTTTCGCACTTGTTTAAATCTCCCAAGGCGACAAACTTATCGATACACTGCCATTTTCCACTTTTCAATTAAAGAAATTGAAGCAATTTGTATGATTCGGTTATCATAGTCATTTCAAAAGGCATTTTGAGGTAATTTTCTTCTGACCTCTGGGAACTATTTGGGATTATATATGCGTGTTGTCTCGGTGTGTTTAGTTTACAGCTGAAATTGTCCCTGAATACTGTGTTGTATCAACAGAGGAGTAATTAAATTAGCAGTGACTGAAAACAAGAGGACACACACCATGCACTACGGATATTTGCTAGCACCACACTCCTCTTTCCCCTTTGGAAATACTTTCTTTGCAGCGACGAATTGTTGCTCGGTGATTTGCAAAAGTCGTGATCCATGTACAGTTAACCCATATAAAATATTTTAATTAAGGAAATTGTTTAGTGATCTATTTGACCAAAATCTTCTTGAGAACTCCCAAGGATTTCTTCCACAAGGATTGAATTTTAACAACTCGAGGATCGGGTAAATTAAAATTTATTGTAATTGTTTCGTCACTCCGCATCCACAATAGGTTTATCACAATTGAAATGGGATTATATCCTCGGACGATGGCAAAATTAGTCCAAAAATTAATTATGAGAATCACCCTTCTCTGGTAGAATTTACTTATCTGGTCGAAACTATCAACTCCATAGCTCTGTCAAGGGAAGATTGTGTACAGAGTCCGGGTTTTATTTCGCAATTCCATTGGGTCCACTGACAAAAAGCTGAGGGAAGTTCTTCAGATCCAATTAGACACTTATAGCTATTTCGTGAACGTATGCTTGAAAGTTTAGTAAAATTTTATGTTTAATTAATTAAATTATGGCACTAAAAGTCTATCTCTTTCTCTGTGGCCATCATCATAATATAATTTCTGTTTGGAGAGCTCCCTTCCGCTCATTCTGTGGCTTTTGTAGGATTGTGTGTGCGTCTGAGACTGAATGAGTGTGCAAGTGGCTGAAGGTATGCCGTTCTGATGGTGGGGTGGAGTGAGTGGGTGGCACGACCCCCTTGAATGGAAAACTAAAAACAAAGATGAGTGTTGGTTGTAGAGTTTTCCCTTAAATTTGGTAGATTGCAAAAGGGCTGGGGAGTTTTGGGGAGAGTGAAAATGTGGAAATGATGAATATGAAAAGCCAGACGCTGGAGTATTTGAATAGCGGCACTCTTGAGATTCGACTCCCCTACAAGTCAGTTGGAGTCCTTCAATAATCACGACGAGCAACTAAGGATGATCTTGAGTGGCACTCAAGTGAGATGTTCTTAAGGAAGTCAAGCGAGAATTCGCCTTTTCCATCTAATTGGATATGTAGATTCTATGTGTTTTCACTCCTCACTTGAGAGGACCACCTCTCCTTGCAGATCTGATTGATGGTCTCGCCACCATTCAACTTTTATTTTTCACGAAAAATGTGCCCCTAAATACAAACACGGTGAGACATTTAATTGGAAAAGTCCCAAAGTCTGCACGGTCTATAGATAACGAGCAATTGAAGCCATTCTGGCCTCTTCCAAATATGCATTCAGCCGTGGTATTTGCAATAGAAATTATTTGTGGGTATTGCGAGTTCTAAAAGTTTTTCATACTTTGTCGCCAGTGTAGATTTTTTCACTGCCTAACTTTGTGACATAAAAGTTGAGCTTCTGTAAGTTGCGTCTCACCATTTATTGAATTATATTTTTCATTCCCGAACTTACATACTTTTAGTGGCGTAATGCACTGTCTTTTGTTCCACAAGAATACCATTTCGTAGCTTTAAAGTTGAATTGGAGTAATACTCTGGTTAAGGTAATTTTGAGTGTTCCAGTAATATTGATTTTAGACTAATAAATTCCCATTTACATTTCATAGAGTATTGTGTGCTCTAGGCTAGAGTAAGTGTACGATTTCATATGACTACAAAGGGGAGCAAAGCATTAAGTAAATTGAATTGTTATTGTCCAATAACCGAAGACTTATGGAGCTATCACAAGGCAATAAAGCATTGATCGTGTATAGAAATTGTCACTAGTAAATCATATTTATGTTTGGAAATTTGAGGAAAAATCTTGGCAATTTGACACGCTTGTTTGCGATGCTGTTGAGGAGAAAGTGTGGCACACAGGAAAGACTAACTCACCACACTTCCTCTGGACAGCCAGTGTGCATCTTAAGCAAAGATACTTCTCTGCACAATTCCACTCGTCTGCATAAATTTACATTAAGCAGACCAAAGGAGACAACATAGAAAGGGAAACAAGGAAAGTTGAACGTTCCCTGGCGAGCAAAAGTACATCAAGGGTACAATTGAGAAAAGACAGGATACCTGGTGAAAAACTTTGTAATTATATAATCACGAAATTGTGTTTCTCATTCTAAAAATAACACTGAGAAAAACAGTTGGGGACATAAATTATTCACTCACATTTGTATTACATTATATGACTTCTTAGCCGCGGCGGGCGTAAAAACAACTTTCACCCTTACTTTCCTTAATGTGACTCTGCCCTCATGTGAGGGGTCGCGCGGTATCCCTTTTGCTCATTGTCTCACACCCTCATTCGCCTTGGCGCAGGATTTTTCTGCACACATGGTGAGACAAAAATGTTTTTCTGCTTTAATCACATTATTTCACGAATCATTTCATGTGCCCGCAATAAATCATCACATTACAATCCTGTAACAGTAGTTATATAAGAAGGATGAAATTTGCAAAGTTACGCCATGTCTAGTCTCAGACTTGCCATACAATCTTTACCCTCTCTTCATAGCAGAATATATTCTTCACGACAGAACAGATATTGTAATCCATATAAGTTGCGCATTTAGTGGGCCAGATTGTATTGAAACACGGCAGTAAAATGATGGTGTGTTGGTGAACTTATGAATCACTAAACAACATGCCCGAATTTGCATTGATCAGTGAAATTTCTCAGCATACTTCGCAGGCCCATTACGGAAGTTAGAGACGCACGATATACGGAAAACATCCGCGTATATATTTTTATATTTGTGTACCTTCCATAGAGAAACTGTATCCCTTTCAACTCGCGTACATTGACTAAGGCCACAACATGGCGAAACCTAAAGAAGCGTGAAAATAACACAAGAGTTTATCAGTTTTGCTGTTCTGTGAATAAATAAAACAATAATTTTTCCCGACAAGTACCTTCACGATTCAACAACGGGGAAGACTATGGGAAAGTAGTTCACATCATTCAACAAAAATACTCCATGGTATTGTTGTGAGACGGAAAAAGAATAACAATTCCCATCTTGGTGAAAACATCTCAAGGAGATTTGTGAGCCAAGGAGTTCCAATTCACGCCAAGATTCATTGTCAACAGTTTCAATGGGATTAATGTATATCTGCTTCTTTTACTCCTTCTATTTGGCAAATTTTCTTCTCATGGACCGAAAAGGAAAAAAAAATGTGACACGAGTGCAGTTTCCCAAGTGATATATTTCACTATATACCTTGAGCCATGGCAGGAGAAAAGGAACTGAAAGAATTTAATTACTACATCGCATTGCCAGAATGTCATCTGCAATTCCGAGGACGGAGTGCTCTTCTCTCATGGCTGAAGGATGTTACCACCTAATTTTCACTCAGTTCAGTTTCCGTCTTCCTGCCTGTGAATTACTCGGAAAAGTTACACGGGGAAAAAATCTGGCACGAAGCTCTGACCTTCTTAAACCTATTATCGATTTTGGCTGGAGCAATGTGAAATCACAGCAAAAATCGCAATAATCACTATCGAAAAGGGGGAAGAAATTATGTTTTTCGACATTGATTGAATCTGTAAGATGTCGCAATATGTTTGAGTGTTTGAAAAAAAAATGATTTAATTTCACTTACCAACAACGTGCAAGTAGCCAAATTGTGTTTTCGCTGTCACAGTGTTAATTTGACACATGTATCGTCCTTTATCCTCCTCCTGGACATTGTTTATATGTAGAAACCATGTTTTGTGCTTATCGTGCTTATCGTGAGTCACACTAATACGCGGATTTCGAGTGATCACGTGATTGTGGACCGTTAAGATGGCAGACTGCTCAAAGTGCATCCATGCGACCTGCAAAATATTAAAAAAAGAGTGAAAATCCTTTTTTAGCCATCGTCTAGCCACTCGACTTGTGACGATTTATATCTTTGTTTACAGACTATTCTATTCGCTTTCTCCGCCCCTTCAGTCGCCCCACGATCGTCAACTTGCAATTTCATTTTTCACCCAAAAATCCTCAGCTCAACTCCTTTTTAGTGGGAGTGGCTGTGCACTGGGTAAAAACGAATTTGTTTCAAATAAGAAAACGATGGGTATTCCACATTCAAAAACATTTACAGCCACTTCAGAACTGTCATAAAGTGGAATTTTGTAGATAGTATAAAAAAATTAAACGTGAGCATAACAATTTGTTAAGTAGCAATAAAAGTATGAGAAGTCTTTAGAGGTTATAACGAGAAAATGAGCTCCAATTTGCAGAGATTGAAATGGCATCGTAAATACGTGATGAGCAGAATCGAGTTATATCCTCAAGTTATGCTTAAAAATAATAGAACACGCTATATTGAAATTCAGTTCTGGTCAATCACAATATAAATATAATTTTCGTATTATATAACATCCTCAGAATTCCGTTATTAGAAATCTAATATCTTAGAGTCAGCTTGAAATGAAAAATCCGGGCGTGATCTAATCTGCATATTAATTGGCAATCTTTGATTTTTTTTTTCTAAAGTCATTACCAAAAGGCAATTTGGGTGTGATTTTATAATGCTATTCTGAGAACCATCGTCAATACCGCAGCACATTCACACAATAAATTACATGGTTTACAACTTGGGCTCATTACCAAAATAATCCAATTAGAATGTTCGAGTAATGCGATAACGACTCAATAAAGGCAAAGGGAAGACACTTAGCGTGATTAAATCTACACCCTCACGGTAAATATTGGAGGATACATGTTGTGTAAACATAAATTTTAAATTGGCGCCATCAAATTTTAATAACCGCCCACCCACACTTGTTATCCTCAGGCGTTGACTTGAGACGACCCACATATGGCCGAAATCCCTGTGCGTGGCACACACACACGCCGTCCCGAGGGTGGATTCTGTTTAATCATTGTCATTAGACTTTTGGTGATTGATGACCGACGAGGAGAATCTCTTCCTCCGATCCAAATGTCACTTTTAGTCTTTTGGAATATAATTTTATGGCCAGTGGAGCAACTCAAATTGGAAAATAATGGCCCAAGTCATGGAATGACAAATTCATTTTTGCTGGGAGACAAACTTTATCCAAACTTTTGCCCTTGCGAGGCATATGAGATATTGATGTCGCCAAAATATCCAATCCTGTTTCACATAAGCACATGGTGAGCCTCAATTGAACACTGGGAGAAGGGATGTGATGTGATTCTCAAGCTCTGTCGCTCTGAAATGCATTTACATTTCATTGCTTCCAGGAAATAAGGATTGGGATAATCTTGCCAGATCATCCGGTTTGAAGAACCAAACGTATCAAACTCCAGAATAACTTAAAGCTCAGCTTTCCTTGGCATTCCCTACAAGGAGGCTACAAATTGTCCCACAATTTTTATCTACACAAGTGTTTGTGTCATGAAAGCAGCCAAATAAAATTAATAACACCTTGTGGATCGAGACAAAAGAGCGCGAAATCCTCCCACTAAAGCGTAAATGTGTGATTTTATGATTACAACAGAGCCAATGATGTATATGTGAATATGGGCTAATATACGACGCAAAGTAACCCCCTGGAGAATGGAGCAGACTTTAGATTTTCTCCCTTATAATGAAATTCAAGAACACGCTTGAGGAAAAAAGATTGAAGCGCGATGGCAAGATAAAGCAGGTCTTGTGTAAATGGAACCTCTGCTGAAAGTGGTTTAGAACCGTCTAAATGCCTCTCCAGAAGGGGCTTGCAGCTGATATATGTATCATAATTTTGTTTAATTAATTAAATTCGTTACGAGCTGCAGGACCTGGAAATTGAGGTGAGACCTTTATGCGGTGTCATTTTATCGATATAGCCAATCTTGGCAGGACAGAGTAAGGAGAGTGTTATATGGTTGGTGGTATTCTCATGGAGCCTGTCATCAGTGAAAAGTGAAAATATTGCGGGAAATTTTGTGAAAGAACACCACCAGTGTGAATGCCTTACAAATTGAAAGTGTATCATGCCACATTTTGCTCCGCTCAAGAGTGACGACAAACTTCCTTTCCAATGCAGAATTCTACGGAGAAAATTTGCAACAAAACGTGTCATTGGCATAGATATTTAGTCCCGAAGGAGTGGCAGAAGACTGCTTGCTTAAAAATTCCAAATAGATGTGCGATGCCGAGGAAAAAACAGCAGACACCAGGGGAAGATGAAGACTAAAGGGCGATGAACACATTTCGCATTTCTATATCAGCACATTTATATATAGCAATGTATTCGGCAATGGGTGTGTCAATGTATGGCGAATCCTGGCGAAGAGGATCACGAGGGATGCAGCATCTAGAGAGGAGTGATAGCGTTATCTGCAGCACATTCAGCTTCACGCGTTATCAACTCAGAATCACATTTATTTTATTCTGTCGGACAGTTTAGCTGAAAAGTTCCACTAGAGAGACAGTGAGACTGCCACACAGCCTTGTAATATCCTTCTCGCAGGCGCTTCTTCTCTTCCCATCCATTTTCCCACCCAAATGTGGAAAAATCTTCATTCTCAGGATTCCTCTCGACGCCTGGTAGAGAGTGAAATTTCGGAGGGTCACACGTTTTAGTTTAATAAAGAATATCACTCTGTGCTGTTAATTTCGTTTCGCCTCCTTTTTTCTGCACCCCTCACATCACTCTCTGTTGGCCTCTAGCAGCCTCTACACATAGCCAAAAAGGGTCGCTGTTGGTTGGTCACAATTCTGCGTCCTGATCCTTATCGAACATTAATTATAAAAAGGACTGCATTCAGCTATAAAATTGGCTTCTCCCGTTACTCGACACTTCCGCAATTTCACCATATATTTCAAGAAGTGTCCTCACTGTGATATACGCGATAAAAATATCTTCAATGGAAACAAATCTATGAGAAGGTGAGTCAAATGTTGCCGCCTTTAGTGTATACAGTGTATATCTAAAGAATATAATGGAATTTCTTCATAGTTCCCATTCTTTTCGCATCCTTCGGAGCAGAGGTGTTTCACATTTTTCATCCATCGGTAACAAAGATTAAAATTAAAACGTGATTTGACTCCTTTTCCAAAGAAATGTTGCAACTGCGAAGAAAAAGTTCGTATTACCTTTCTCGTTTCTCTGGTGTATCATAAATTCCTCCGCAATGAGACTTCGAGAATGAAGGTGAGGGCTATGGAGGTGAACTTTTCACGAGAATTTTCATAATTTCAAATGAAACGAGAGAAAATTGTATTTGTCAATGAAGTAAAAAAGAAAAGTTGAATGAAGCAAAAACAGCATCATAGTGCACACCAACATTTGCGATGCTGTACAAAGATGTTAAAGTATTTACCGTGACGAGAACTATTACCATTGCGAACGCCAAATACGTAGAGTGTCGATTGTAGCAGATGTTTCTTGAATTTCCACGTTTCTCTGACATTCAAACGGAATATTCTCTCTAAAATGAACTTATTAAATATAGCCCAGACTCTCTTCGCACCATCAAATGCGGAAAAGAAAATACACTTGTACATTGCACGCCACCTTCTCTACACAGAACGCAATTCTACAGTGCTGCATCGTGGTTGTTGGCTGCAAAGTTGAATCAACAAATGTTAATAAGAAAGAACAATTCACTCGCTCATCCCCACGCCTCGTGACGTGCCAAAGTTTATCCGCCAGCTTCCCGGTAAGCTTCTGTGCTGCAATAACACAACCGCAAGGCAACAACAACTTAACTTGAAAAATACTTAAAACATCGTAAACGGGGATCTCGACGTGATAAAACAGTAGGTACAGTGTTGCCCTGAAACACATAAAGCCACTTTGAAGGAGTTAACGTACATCGCAATCCCCTATCTTTGCACTCTGAGGAAAAATTGTTCAAGTTCAAGAGCCGGATATCCAGCCAGAATAACTTAATTTCGCATACACCATCTTCTTCCTTTGTGCCCTCACAATTAAATTATTAAATAGATTCTCACATGCAAGGCATATTGGAGGTTCTTCTTGTTACATTTGCAAGATGGAGAAAAGCCCTTTATCACAAAAGATGACTATGCTGAATCGCTAATCTTTCTATTTGTCGATGATGAAGCAATTTGAATCGACGAGGAAAGCCGAAAATCCCCTTGGGGAATTTCATATGAGAACACATTCGATATTTCAAACTTATCATTCCAATGCAATTTCACTGGTAAATCGCCCAACATGTGATAATATTTCACGCTACAATTTCGCACGATTCTCGCGTGTTTTAACAAACTTCCCCTCACAGTGTTTGAATAGCAAATTTTCACATTTTCTTTCTTTTCGATCCTTGAATTTTACCTCTAAGAAGTCCCGTGCACGAATTATAGAATGTCAATGCGCGAAACATCATGAATTTAAATGCATAATTGGATGGCTGGGCTACATGGTAGAAATGATGTAATAAGAACTGGTAATATTTCATTGCGACGGATGCTGCAAGGTGGCTGAGAATAAGAATTCACAATTTTATCCGAATTCAAGTCATGATTTCCCTCTAACGAGACCATCCCCAGACAAGTTTGTTTATTTCATCCCATGTGCTCGGGTCGAAGAGCTTTTGTATCACTGTGCAAGTCCCTTTCGCGACATTCGACTGTATATACTGTCGTCCATTTATTACGGTTGTGCCCAGCCCATTTTATAAATTGCTATCGACAGCATAGAGAGCCTGGCATGCCACAGGCTCAGTATTTGCTGCAGCAAGACAGCAGTGAAACATTGAGAATCACCAGTGGAATTGTACAATTTTAATTCGCGAAATACTATCTATTCTTCTCATGGTAATTTTTGATAAATTTACCATGTCACAACTGGTAGAATGACAAGTCAACTGTGTGTGTCATGCTCAACGAGGCGCATGTTTGACTAAGGATGTTTGGTCTTCTAATGTACAACAGGGAAATATGTGTTATTTACAAAAGAAAACTGTACAAGAACGTAAAAGTTTCCGGAGAGATCCTGATGGGAATATGTTATGAGCTCCAAACTTTTATTTTTCCATCGTGTGCTCATTTTCGAAAGAGCCATGGACAATTTTTCGGAGTAAAACTATTAGGAAATTTCATTTAAAAAGTTGAAAGTTTTATACCGCAGGACCGAAGAGCGAAGGGTGGCAAAAGAGCGACAGTGTGTAGTTGAGGAATAAAAGAGGCGATTTGTGGTCAGTCCATTGGCATTATGTTATCTGTGGGCAACACACACAGCAAGATAGTCACGTACCTTATAAGTTCCGAGATTTTTGACAGAACATGCCAGTTTCACATTTCTACCAGCTGGAACAGTGATATTTTCAATAACGTCCGTAAATTCTGGATCCTCCAAGACAGCTGCAAGAATATTGAAAAAAAGAACCATATGAAATTCCCATCATTTTCATCCATTGAAGTTGTAAATGGCTGGGGAGTGTGATAGAGAATTGCACATATATTTATCAGTTTAATAATAATTCTCCCTTCTACCTCGATTTTCTCCCTTAAAGATCACCGCTAAGGATCCGAAGAAGGTAGAATCTTTAAAAAAAAATCCCACCCTTATCGTTTTCCAGATGGTCTAGGGCTCATCCCTACCTCGCATATTCCGACCACGTATCATGAGTAATTTGACGCACTCAGTGAAAATTTCTGGGCAGAATGATACGTGTGATAGAATGTAATATCCAGGGTCCCTTTAAAACATAACAAAATAATTAGATTCTTGTTTCTCTTTGCGATTTTTTCGTCGTTATTGCATTCCCCGCATACACTTCTCCACACCTGGCATTCTCCTCTCCCTAGTCCATCTCAACAATGTGTTGTATGTATAATTTTTCCTCAGACCACTTTCTCAAATATTTCCGTCTTTGGCACACAATTTCCATCCCGAAAGAAAGGAATCGATGGATGGCAGACGGCTAGCCCGGAAGGTATTTCGCTCTTTGTTGCTTCTATTTATCCCCCAACTTTTTGGCTCAGGGATTCCACCTTCAGCTCATTTAAATCTCATCTCATTCTACATTGGTATGCCGCTAAAGGAAGAAAATACATATTAAAAAAAATATGCTTTTCATTTCAATGTTTTTTTTCACTGCGTTGTTGAATTCATTGAATCTGTCTAGCAATCATTTTCAGCCTAAACACATTTCTTCATTGACCACGAACTCTTTTATGTTTTCTGATTGGGTCATCAAGTTAGCGTTTCTCCTGCGGAAATGCAGTTTTGGCATGAATCCTTTGTTCCTTCATCTTGGTGAAGTGCTGAGAAAAAAAATATTGCAGAGCATCGTGTGTGTGCAAATTCTCAAAAGCGCGCAAAATAGAATCATTTTGAGGAGCTGAGCACGTTTTGTGTGAAAACATCTGACAGTCGATCGTCGTGAAGGTGATGAATACTAAGCAGAATCCTGAAATGAGACTCGCGTGCCTAGTATCATTCCTCCTTTTTGCTCACATCGCGGCTTAACGGAGCCACCGACGTAATACATTCTTTAGAACATGCTCTTGCTTACATTATAGCCCAGTGTTTGTGTGAATTTATGGCAATTATTGAGGGAGAATCCCTAATTTCGTGGGTGGCAGTCGCGCTGCAGTGAACCTCTTGGCATGAGAGAATGCGTAAAAGCCAATAAATACGAGGATGTGATGAGAATTTTGGCGCATTTATGGTACAAACTTTTTCTCTTCAGCGCAATTCAAAATGCCCTGCCAAACTTCTCAAAAAGGCCCATGATTTTCATTTGAAGCCACTATGTTTATTAATGCACGTGTTGCCACTGCATATATGAAAAGTCACACAATAAATTCCTCATTTCACCATTTTCGCCATCCGCAGGCGTTCCAGTGTTGGCGAAAAAGGGGATTATGGAATCAAGAGGCTATAAAGGACTAAGCACTTGCGGAGGAATATAAAGACAAAAACATGCCGTAAAACATGAGTTTTATTGGCCATTAAAATTTAGCTGGGAAAATCACCCTGTCATTCTATCCTGTGATTTCAGGGATGGTGATGACGGGTTGCCAGTAGGCAAAATAGAGCTCCCCACGCCACCCAAAATATGCTGGGCAAAGAGTTCAATATGTGGTCGACAAATTGGGTGATATACCGCCATTTGTGGTGCATATTTTATTGTCCACATTTCAATACAGCCTCCGTGAGTATGATTAGTCTATATTTTGGTTATTTACGTAGTAAAATTGTGCCTCGTGCGTTTCAGAAAGTCAACCATTAACACGGTTAGGTATATTTCCAATTGGACAAGAAAACAACTGACACGTGTGATTGCCACGTGATGAAAGTGACACACAATCCACATAAGCTTGTGACAATGTTTTGCGGGAAAAGCAGTGGCTACAATGGAGTGGCGAGGTGTGAAAAATCATTGAACAAACACTGATGGCATGACAATGATTAATTTGCCTGGCTGTTTTTATTTCTCACCAATTAAGTTCAATTAGATGAAACAAGACGATATAATTAATCATTCTATCTCGTGGTCTTTTTGCGTGATAAATTTCTCTATATGGGAATCATTATTATTCTGCAATATTGCTCCACATTATGTGTACAACACATTGTTTATCCCTGTGGCATCCCACCAGCCGGATATTAGAGGGCCTCCCCACTTTTTTGTGTGCACCCAGCAACCCAATAGGGGCGAAAATGCTATGTGTGGTTTTTCCATGGCAATAAAGTAACATGTCTCATGTATATTTTCTTCTGCCTCTTTGACTGTCTTCCCACAACCTTTACTCATCTTGGCCCATCTCCGCCCATCTATTTTCCACTGAAATATTCTCTCGTGTTCTTCGACGGATGTCAGACTGGCTGACTGACTGACAGCTGTGTGACTCGCTATATCTTCCCTCCTCGCTGTACCTCTTCACACAATTTTCCCCATGAGAAAAGTCGAGAAATGTGGGGCGCACAATTACTGAAATAAGAACTGTTTATGCGATAAATTCTCTGAGGAGCAGCCACACTCTCAGAACTTTCCCGCCTCTTGGCAGAGTGAGTGAGAAGGCGTTAAGAAAGAAAACCTTTCGGCATGGCTAGAGGAGCTCTGAAAGAATTTCTCGTATCGTATAAATTAAATTGAAGCCTTTAATCAAAATTACTACTATCATTTCTCTTGCGCGAATGCACGCCTCGAGCATTTCAAAACTTGAGTCCCCAGCGAGAGACTCTGGCTTTTATTACGAAATAAGAAGAGGGCTCTTGCGCTACAGCACATGTGATGACTCTGTCATATTGAAGCAATTTTTTACGATGATATTTTTTATATTGATGACGAAATAAGTTGGCTGTAAGCTTAGTCATTTACCCTGGAAAGCCCTCTCTAAATTGCCAACTGGGCGCGAGTTCCACCCCCTTTTCGCACTTTAGAGTGCGGGAAAAAGGGTATTATGAAAATCATCAATAAAAGATGCCCCTCGTCATTCGTCTCCACTGTGATTTATTAATGGAAAATTGTCCATCGGGAGCGGCGGTAGATTTTGCCAGTTTTTTTTTGCACCCTCTCTCTGTGGGGAGGAAAATAAGACCCACACCGCGAAGGTGTTTCGGAAGGGAGAGAGATATATTGCTGAAAATGAAGTAACACCTAGTCGAAATTAAATTCACGATACGTTTATTAAAGTTGTCATGCCCACAAATCATTTGTATTGTTGTTCCGCGCTGCAGAGAATTTGTTACATGCCGCGTATTATGTGGGGGTGACAAAACCACCCACCGACGCTATATATTTCACATCAACTTCCATTGCACCCTCGCAAGAGTTGAGAGAGAGAGGGGATGCTCTCGCAAGTTTATGTGCTGGTACATATGTCAGTGGTGAGGTTAGGGGTCCTCAACGGTGGAAGGGTGAATTGCCGTTTGGAGAGGTACTCGGCAAAACGAATTAGCGAGTCAACACCTTTTTCACACACACACACACACAAAAGCCCCTTCTCAAAACCGAATAACTCGTTCTAAAATGTGGAAACTAGTAAATTTCACATGAGCACTAACTTTGAGGAAGGTTTCGTGAATAAAGAAACCGCATTTCGTGGTTGATTGTTTAAACTTTTCGTCACTCATGGTTGATTGTGGCAATCATTTGCGTGTAAAATTGTATGTATGTAAAAAATTCGTGTATTTATTGTTGAATTAAATTCGTGGGTGAAGGTAAAATGGAAATATTACATTGCAAAATTGTTAATTAACCTGTGAATTGCTCTCAATTTACATATCTACAAAATATGTCACCGACACAATCATTAGTATATATCCATTAATTCGGTGGATTGTTTGTAGTGTTCAGTATCCTTTTGGTCCATTCTCTGCGAAAATACCTCAATTGTAATATTTTTCGAGTTCATGTGCTGCATATTGAATTCCAAAGTGGAACCTTCCCACGCAACAACAATGAAAGTCACAGCATATTGAGAACCATTACATGTTGGAAAATGAAATATTTTCGTTGGAATTCCTACAAGCGTCCTATTGAAATTAATGTAATTGGTAATCTTTTGTTCATGAAATCCCTCAAAAACAAGCTCCGTGGCTTTGATGTGAAAAATTAGGTGCGACACCACATGATTCCGAAAATATATTTCATAACGACACGCAAAACAACGCGACTTGTGAAAAGTGCCAAACATTCATTCTCAACTTTCTCTAAAATCTCCTTAACTCACATGCTCTATTTCTTGACAATATTTTGTGGTATTTGTTGCTCAAGTGTGTGGGAACTTTTCTGAAAGGTTTTCATAATTGATGAGAGGTGTTTGTGCACCATTTTTCCAAAGTCTTTGTAAACAATTTAGTTTATATACAGTGCTTTCTCTCACTTGTTCACTCAAAAACTTTTGCAATTGTTATGGTGAAAACACAGCATTTGTAATTTGTAATTTGTCCGCGATCATCTCTTTCTTCCCCTCGCGTTTCGTGTATTTTCTTTCCTACTCTGTCAGCGTCCGACTCTGACATGTCGAGACAGCCACTGTGCGAGTAGGAAGGAAAATACACGAAACGCGAGGGGAAGAAAGAGATGATCGTGGACAAATTACAAATTACAAATGCTGTGTTTTCACCATTAACAACGAAAATATTTTCTTTCACGTGACTTTTAAATTTTCGTTCATTCTTCATTGTATGCGTTTGTGCTCCTTTTGCTGTATTAGAAAACTCATTCGTCCATGGCATCAACGACTTTTCTCATCCATTGAAAGACACGTCGAATATCATATATTTCGAGGGAAATCTGCAACTATATTTTCCCTTTGGAAATATCCACATTTGGCGGAAGTAACTTATGTGACATTTTTGACACGAGGAAATCGAAAATGTGGAATTAAACAACAAAACTTCGAAT